TTGTAATACTCAATATATACCAATAACAAAAGATGAATACAAGTCACGTTTGACTTCTGTAATTACAAGAAGTGCTCAAAGTGGTTACCATCAGCATAATTTTAATATAGATTTTTTTTCCTTTCTTAAAATGTGCGTACAGGGCCAGCCGAGTGGCTCAGTTGGTTAAAAGTTGGCTTGGGAGCGCGAGCTCTGAGCAGCAGGTCCGCCGGTTTGGTTCCCACATGGGCCAGTGACGCTGAGCCCTCTACAGCTGAGATTGTGAACAACAGCTCATCCGTGAGTGGCCAGCACGGTGTAGGATGCGGTGAGCTACCGTGAATGGCTAGCAGCCGGCGAGAGCTGCCATGAGCGGCCGGCCAATGGCTGGTGACCGATCTGCCTCACCCGGGAAGAGTACAATGATAATACCAGCATGGGCCAGTGAAGCGACGTCCTCCACAACTAGACTGAAGAACAAAAGGACAGCAACTTGTCTGTTCCCCTTCCTCGATTCCCCAGTGCTGTTCCCCTCCCACAATTCCCCAATAAAATCTTTTTTTTTAATGTGCATATGTTTTTTTGGCACCCTCTGTATATGTTATTTTTTAGGAGATAGTCTCTTCAGGGCCCAGGCCCTTCCTACAGTAACTTTTGGAGCACCAGCTCCTAAGCCTTTCCAATCCCAACCTCGCCCACATTCTTCTGAAGATTGAGGCGTTTTACTGAAAATGAGAGCATCCCATTAACTGCCTCTTACAGGCGAAGCTCAGAGAGAAGCTCAGAAACTGGCGGGGTCACCCAGCCAGGGAGGACAGTGGGAAGAGCCCAAAGGGAGGTTCTGGCTGCCGGCCCCTCCGATGATTCCAGTGGGAGAGAACAAAGGCTTGGCCGGAGCTGCGAGGGTCCTGCCCAACTTCTCCTGCCGGCAACCCAACGGGGCCACACCAGGGTCCCCTCAGCAGCCCTCTCCCCACCCACTGCGCTCACTCGGTCTCCATCCCAGCCAGACACCATGGCCCTTCCTGTAGTTCCCACCTCTTGTCACGAGAGGGCGCCACACAATCAGGAATAAGGCAGCAACTCGGATTGTTAAAGGGGCGCTTTTCTGAAAGAGGGGAACTTGTTTTTCTCTCCTAGCAGGACCTAGGAAGGGTCGAGGAGGCTGCCTCAGGCTGAATGACATAAGTTGTTATGGTGGTTTGGCCGAGTGGCATTCAGAGGAGGACTCAGGCCCAACATTCCACGGCCAGTAGTCATGACTGTAGCAGTTCCTGACGGCCTACCAAGACATCCAGGGGAGGCGGACAGCTCTCGGGGCTCGTGGAGCATTGTATTTCTCCATTTTCACTTATAGGAAAATTTCAAATCATCCTCCTGACTCAGGAAATGTGCATTCTCATATTAAAAAAAAAATAGTAATCATTATAATGATGATTAATAACAATGTCTTGTACGTATTGAGCACCTACTATGCTCACTACAGTGCCAGACAGTGCTAAGTGCTTTAGGGGCAGTATTTCATTTGCTTTGCTTAACCCTCCTCACTATAGATCATAAGTCCTGTTTTGCTGACTTCCTTTTATGTGCAAACATTTTCACACCCTTATCTCCTGCCACCCTCACAGAAACCCTGCAAGCTCTTATAGAAGAGGCTCAAGTTAGTCATTCAAAATTCATCAATGTCAATTATCCATCCATTCAATAAATATACAAAAATGCCTGCTGTGTGCCTGGTACTGTGTTGGGTGCTGGTGATCAAGACCCAGGCTTTGTCAACTGGAGATTTCAGTCTAGAGACAAGTGGATTACAATGGTGTGAAAAGACCTTCTACAGAGGACAGGATCTAGAAGAGGAACAGAAAATCTATCTACAGCCTGGGGGGGTGGGAGCTCCTCCTCTAGGACCAGATAGCCAAGCTGACAACTGAAGAATGAGGAAGCGTCAATGACATGAGAGGGGAGGGTCCCCAGCTACAGGACACAGCATGTGCAAAGGCCTGGAGAAGCTACTCATGAGGGTGTCAACTCC